CAGTTGCGTAAAAGTAGTCGTAAAAGTATTCCCCGTCGTCGTTTTGAGATTGAAGGGGAAGCTTTTATGATTGCTCCACAAGACGATGCGGAGCCTAAGATAGTTCAAGAGGCTCTCTCATCCCTTGACAAGGAAGAATGGAGAAAAGCTTTGGAAGACGAAATAGAGTCTAAGAGGACAAACCACGTCTGGGACTTGGTTGATCTGCCACCCGATCGCAAGGCTATTGAAAACAAATGGATTTTCAAGATTAAGCGAAGGGCAGATGGATCCATTGAAAAGTATAAGGCTCGCCTTGTGGCAAAATGCTATACTCAACAAGAGGGTGTAGACTATGAGGAAACTTTTTCACCAGTTGTAAGGTTTGCCTCCATACGCCTTATCCTAGCCATTGTTGCACATTTGGACCTAGAATTACATCAAATGGATGTAAAGACATCATTTCTCAATGGAGAACTAGATGAAGAAATCTATATGAAGCAACCGATAGGTTTCATTGCTAAAGGTCAAGAGCGTAAAGTTTGCAAACTTCATCGCTCAATTTATGGCCTTAAGCAATCATCTAGACAGTGGTATTTTCGTTTTCATCGAGCCATAACTTCTTTTGGGTTCACGATGATCGAAGAGGATCACTGTGTGTATATCAAACGGTCTGAGGATAAATTTATGATTTTATCTCTTTATGTGGACGATATTCTATTGGCTGGGAATGACAAGGGTTTGGTTATAACCATAAAAGAATGGTTGTCTTCTAATTTTGAAATGAAGGACATGGGAGAAGCTGTATGTATATTGGGAGTTAAGATTGAAAGAGATCGATCAAAGAAACTCCTTGCTATGTCACAAGAGTCTTATATAATGAAGATTCTTGAACGCTTCAATATGCAGCACTGTAATCCCATTGATACCCCTGTCATGCAAGGCGAAGGCCTGAGTACTAAAATGTGTCCTAAGACTTCAGAAGAAAAGAAAGAAATGGTAACTGTTCCTTACGCTAGTGCTGTCGGAAGTTTGATGTATGCTATGATGTGTACTCGACCCGACATATGTCATGATGTGGGGTTAGTGAGCCGATATCAATCAAATCCTGGTTCAGCACACTGGAAAGCAGTTAAGAGGATCCTGAGATACTTGAAAGGCACTATGGACTATCGACTTTGCTATCAAGGGAGTGATATACGCTTATTAGGATAATCTGATGCTGATTGGGGAGGAGACCTAGATGAGCGTAAATTGACGTCTGGTTATGCGTTCTTGCTTAATGATGGGGCAATTTCTTGGAATAGCAAGAAACAGACATGCATAGCTTTATCTACGATGGAGGCAGAATTTATTGCATGTTCTGCTGCAGTGCAAGAAGCAGTATGGCCAAAACGTTTCTTGGAAAATTTAGCCATTTGCCACTAATGTCCCAAGACCAGTGACAGTATATTGCGATAGTCAAGCAACCATTGCCTATGTGAAAGATCCCAAGTACCATGGTAGGACGAAGCACATTGACATAAAGAATAACTTCATCAGAGATATAATAGCGCAGAATGAAGTAGTCCTGCAATATATTTCAACCAACAGGATGGTTGCTGATCCATTTACGAAGGCTGTTCCAAGAGACGTGTTCTTGACCCACAGGATGTCTCTAGGATTACGTAGAATGTGATTATGATATGTAATATTGTTGAGGATCACTGGATCATGTGTGTATACGTATTGTACTTGTTTGTTGATGAATTGATATTTTATCAATTAGTACAATGTTATGAGACTAGCACAAACACACATATATTGTTGAAAGGTATGTCACCAGGCAATGATTGGCTCACTCACACGAGCAATCACCTCAAACGCTATAGTAAGCGGGTTGAGATGAGACGATATGTACTATAAATGCTGGAAGAGCAGTTTAGTACATAAAACGATTTAATGTCGCCTTGATTGGAATCAAGATGAGGTCTGTTATTCGTATGTGATAAGACCGAACATGATAGTCCCACAATCATGTATGCCTGAAGGTAGCCGGATGCGAGTACTAAATTGGGCGCTGTGGAAAGCGAGCTGATATAGCACTCGGGCTAAACATGAGTACGTGAGAAGCACGTGACCATGTTTAGGCTAAGATCCATATAGTGGATATGATTAATAAATGACATACGCTCTTATAGACAGAGAAATCTACTATAGCATGTAATTCATACTACATGTGCTTTATTCGACCAATAAGGGAGAAGAGTACAATTATCCCTATTTACTCATCGTGTGAGTCCTTGAGGTAATTTATAATTTACCTCACTTCGTGCCCTATGTTACTTCTGACTGTGTTCTCGAAGTAGAAGATCAATGTTGCTAAGCATGTTACCGACGGTCATGAATAGATATGGCTTTATGGGACGTGTCTAGGAAATCAGTTGTTTTGAAATGGAGAGGGACATGAGTGCGAAGGAAGACTATTGTTGTTTTACATCTATCACATGTGTTTACCGGTCGACCAATTATTTGGCCTTTGATAGTTTCGGAAATAATTGTAAATACATGCTGTTCTTGAAAATAGTCAAGTATAACCTTTAAGGGATAGGTATACTTGGACTGATGTAACAAAATATGTCTGGGGCACTGTGAGACATCAATGGTTTATTTATTTTTGGGGTTGTAGCCATTATGTTGTCCCTAACAGGTGCATAATTAGAGCTCCCAAGTACAGGTGTACTCACTGGTCGCACGGCTTTCTTGCCAGTATGAATTGTTTCTAAGGTAGATGAATGTTGAATGCCTTATGTTCTTAATGGAGCATCATCAAGCCTATCATGTGCGAGTAGGAGATGTTATATTTCGTCGGTCCGCCCATGATGTGTGTATCCAAGGGACACCATTTGCTCTAATAAGAAGTGTATCTGAGAGACACCTTTTGAAGAGGTGCGAGAAGAGTTTCTTAAGGGAAGTTAAGATAACTTCCTGCAATGATGAACAATTTACAAGAGTAAATTCAGAACTCTCTCTCTCTCTCTCTCGACGTATTAGGATTTAGTATCTACTTTGAGAAGACAATCGGCATTAACGCTGTGGAACGAGAATACTTTCCTTGTGATTGTATTCGGACCAACGTGTAGTAAATTCGTTCATCGTTTGCTGGTGATTCAACGTACGGTCCTGGAAATTTTATTTGGAGTGCATCGAACAGGTTAGTCGATTCTCCCGAAACTCGCTTTCAACAGACAGCAATGCAGTGCATTTTTATCAATAAAGTTTTTTAAAAGGATCGAGTGCACTGTACAAATGCAACGGAACAAATGCAATGGAACTATAGATCGTATAATTGAAGATATCTCAATTTTTCTTTGTTATTTTAAAATATACTCCAACATTTTACTAACCCTAATTTGCTAGATTTTGATTGACTGTGGTGTACCATTTTGATCAAATGATTCTCTTATAAACCATGTCACAAGCTCCTTGACACATTGACCATCAAGTTTAAAAAGATTGATATATGGAGAAGCTCACTGACAAATATCTTTTTTTTCTAATTAGGTATCAAGGTCTGTTGAACCTGCTTAAAAAAGGCGAATCAGTTTCCTTCTTGGCCTATTCTATTGAGTTAGACCTCTTAGACCCAATCAATATTATATGAAAAAACACAGATGCATAGGATTCATTTTCAATATTTAGGCTGGATATCATGTTTGGCCTGCCTATTGATTAGGTATCAAGCACAATGTCTCCATATGCATTGATTTACATATGATTGCATCGATAACCAGAAAGCTACATCATCAGAGTACCTCTACATGAAATTAGAGCCAATCCGGTTGCTCCCAATCCCAAATTGGTTCTTCCAAACTTGCCGTCTCCCATTGATGGGAACTTCCTACATTAGCTGCTACTACTCCTGATGAAGATGCATCTCCACATCCACTGCCTCCGCTAATAGCAGTGTTGTCGCCACCCTGGATTGTTGTCTCTCTAGCCACTGCTTTTGGTGGCCGGCGATCAAATGCTCGAGAGCTCCCGGACACCACATACACTCGGCACAATGTGAATTCACACCTCAGCTGTAAGTACATTACTTCCAGAAAATCAAACACAGAGAAAAATGTTTCTTGCATTTTTTTTATGAAAGTCCAAGTGGAAACTAAACTAGAGACGGAAATTCAATAGTGTGCAACAGCACAGCACCGATAAAGTACATGACAGAAAACTCAAACAAGAACGATTATTTAAAGTGAAAATTGAATGATCTAGGTCTCAAGAACGCGAAGATATTTTATCCTTTCTATGTTTGAAAAAGTTGAAATAAAGGCCCAAATTTCTGGATAGCACGTTCACCTTGGGAATGGAAATATTACTGCTCGTGGAATTGGGATTGGTTGGCGAGAGTTCAATGGCCCTATACTCGTTCAATTTCGACTGGGTCTTTCTTCCAGTGGGAGCTTTTCCCACGTAGAAAACCATGGACTTCTTCACACCGATCACCTTGTTGTCAGACGAGTAGACATAACCGGGAGACCCGGTAGCCTTCCAGTAGCCCGTGGCCATGCTCCGGCTGGGCCGCCCTCCTCTGGCCTCCCTCTCCTGCATGGGCGCAAAGAAGGACCACTGCTCTCTGTCTTCTCTGCACAGCTCTCCCGCAAGCTCTGCAACACGAATTCGCCAAGAAAATGTGGGGAAATTGAAATTTTCAAAGAACCCAATTTTAGTGCACAGTTCAATTAATGTAGGGGATGTGAAAGAATCGAATGCATGGATGCCGATTGTGATTTGCGTGGGAGATTCCATGGCTCAGTGTTGAAAATGTCGAGGACTGGGATTACACGATGAATCTTGTCTTGCTTAAGGCCGTGAAGCTGGTTGTGCAAGTAGAACGAAATGAGCTCTTCCTCAGTTGGATAGAACCTGAAACCGGTCGGGTACTTCTCCATATCGAGTTGGATCAGAGGTGAAAGATTCTGTGTTGTGGAACACTAATGGTGAGATAAAGTGTTAGTTGGGTGTGGATTTGAGTTAGCAAGTCAATTACGTATATATATAGGAATGGAGTCAATTAAGTATATATAAAGGTCCAAAAATTGAAATAGCACGTTCACCTTAGGAATGGAAATATTACTGCTTGTGGAATTGGGATTTGTCGGCGAGAGTTCAATGGCCCTGTACTCGTTCAATTTCCACTGGGTCTTTCTTCCAGTGGGAGCTTTTCCCACGTAGAAAACCATGGACTTCTTCACACCGATCACCTTGTTGTCAGACGAGTAGACATAACCGGGAGACACGGTGGCCTTCCAGTAGCCCGTGGCCATGCTCCGGCTGGGCTGCCCTCCTCTGGCCTCCCTCTCCTGCATGGGCGCGAAGAAGAACCACTGCTCTCTGTCTTCTCTGCACAGCTCTCCCGCAAGCTCTGCAACACGAATTCGCCAAAGAAAATGTAGGGAAATTGAAATTTTCAAGAACCCAATTTTAGTGCACAGTTCAATTAATGTAGGGGATGCGAAAGAATCGAATGCATGGATGCCGATTGTGATTTACGTGGGAGATTCCATGGCTCAGTGTTGAAAATGTCGAGGAATGGGATGACACGATGAATCTTGTCTTGCTTAAGGCCGTGAAGCTGGTTGTGCAAGTAGAACGAGATGAGCTCTTCTTCAGTTGGATAGAACCTGAAACCGGTCGGGTACTTCTCCATATCGAGTTGGATCAGAAGTGAAAGATTCTGTGTTGTGGAACACTAATGGTGAGATAAAGTGTTAGTTGGGTGTGGATTTGAGTTAGCAAGTCAATTACGTATATATATAGGGATGGAGTCAATTACGTATATATAAAGGTCCAAAAATTGAAATAGCACGCTCACCTTAGGAATGGAAATATTACTGCTTGTGGAATTGGGATTGGTCGGCGAGAGTTCAATGGCCCTGCACTCGTTCAATTTCCACTGGGTCTTTCTTCTAGTGGGCGCCTTTCCCAAGTAGAAAACCATGGACTTCTTCACACCGATCACCTTGTTGTCAGACGAGTAGACATAACCGGGAGACCCGGTGGCCTTCGAGTAGCCAGTGACCATGCTCCGGCTGGGCCGCCCTCCTCTTGCCTCCCCTCTGCTGCATGGGCGCAAAGAGGAACCACTGCTCTTTGTCTTCTCTGCACAGCTCTCCCGCAAGCTCTGCAGCACAAATTCACCAAATAAAATATGGGGAAAAGAAAGTTTACCGGTGATGCGCTACAGGTTTTGAAATTTTCAAGAACCCAGTTTAGTGCATAATTCAATTAATGTAGGGGATGTGAAAGAATTGCATCTTTCAGCGGATTGTGTCTTATGCGGGAGATTCCATGGCTTAGTGTCGAAAATATGGAGGACTGGGATGACACGGTGAATCTTGTCTTGCTTAAGGACTTGAAGTTGATTGTGCAAGTAGGACGAAATGAGCTCTTCCTCCGTTGGATAGAACCTGAAACCCGTGGGATACTCCTCCATATCTGGTTGTTTTGTGTCCTAGGGATTCGAGTTGGATCAGTAGTGAAAGATTCTATGTTGTTGAACACAGTGAAGAAGATAAAGTTGTAGTAGGGGGTGGTGAGATATCTGATTTAGCAAGTAAATCATGTTTATATGGGGATCAAGTGCAGGAGGAAAGTGTTGAGATGATCTAGGGTTTGTGAAGGAGAGAGTACAGGAGAGAGGAGACCAAGACGAGTGAAGTGATGACGCGTCTTTTGCAAACTCTTGCACCCAATGGCAAAGTCAACGCGGTCATGTGAAGGACGAGACACAAAGTGATGCGAGAAACGAGCAGTGGCCAACGCTTCACATTCGCAGTTCTTTCACAGACGCAGTTTCATCACTACCCCCGCCCCGCCGAAAAGTCCCGTGAGCCCAAAATATGTAAACGCTCAAGGTACAAAACTTCACGGCATAATTATATACAGCACGACGGAACCATGACGCAACCCCGGCTCTACTAGGACTCTAAGGATTTAATGTACAAAATTGATGTGCTAAGTGGTTTTGTCATACGATAGGTGGTCCTAAAACTAAATGAGTCACATTCACCACTCAATTAATAAAAGTACATCACATCATCAGGTCATCAATTTTTTAAGGGTCTTGTGATGAGTACTCCCAATATACTTGTATAGTATATTTAGTAAAAATTATTTCAATCTTCAAAACATCGATTACACATAACACAAGAAAAGCAATATATTCGATACTGCAAATTTTTTCTCTTGGGAATTGCAACCCGCATAGGGGAAGATCATGAAAGGAAGCCCAATTCATTTAAAATCCCAAGTATTGGGCATCAACAAAAGATGCATAGTTAAACACTTGTATCAAAAACTTATATCTAGGTACTACGAAATCACTAAGTTCAGTAACTATGCTTTTTAACCATGCATAACCATGCAATCTGGGATTGACTATCCTTTCGTGTATTTATCCAAAAAAAAATTTCCTATTATGCACCACACGTTTTCTCTAAAAGTCTAGAATGTGTGAAATTTCAAGGAAAAGTACCAAAAAAGTCCTAAACCTATTGCATTGGTACCAATTTAGTCCTAAACTTTTTAATTTGATCAATTTAGTCCTATATCTTTTCACATTAGTACCAATTCAGTCAATCCGGCCAATTTAAACCGAAAATCGTTGACGTGGATGCCGGCCGTCTTACGTGGCACGGCCAGCATTGATGTGGGCATTTTTTATATAATTTTTTAATAATTTTTTTTGTTAAGGCTAATGCAAGTGTTCTAGATTGACTGTCATATGTAATTATCAAGTCCCTCGGAAGTCCACCAATCCTTTGTCATATTAAGCACTAAATATAAAGGGTGGCCACCTATTTTGACTGGACTGCATTGCTATATATATATATACAGAAGCCTTGATTTATGTATAAATACTAAAACTATTCACTACTTATTTATATTTATTCAGGCGGTGGAAATGGTTGGCAAGGTTGAACTGCAAACCATTCACTCACGTTGACCAGCAGTTAGCTAGTTAGCACAGTCGAACCACAAGCCAGTGGCTTGACAAGTTTTCCATCCAGTTTAGCTTCTAAAACACTTTTGATTGCATCGAGATAACACTATGCCAGCAGCAGCAATTAGATTGAAAAGAGAGGATAGCACAGAGAAAAGGGGGAATAAAAGGTAATGAGCACCTTTACTTCAAGGTAGTGTACCAGAACAATGTGCGAGACCTCCCTGTAACAGTCAGCCAAAAAGATGGAACAAGAGAAAACCAGAGTCAGACATTTTGCTTTCCGTTGGATGAGTTCCAATAACAATCTCCTATTGAAAATTTACCAAGAAGAGAAAGAAATTATTTTCAAACGATTGTTCAAAGAAAGCATTATAGAATTCCAAACTAACTAAAATTTATTAACTTAAAGGCAAATTTTTCTTCGCAGTCAACCGCTGCCTTATCCAACTATCTATCTATAGACACGTAAATATATTATGTACAAAACCACCCCCATCATGCTGCGACGCCCACCACCCACCCCCCCAAGGGAAAAAAAAAAACCACTCACGAAGAAAATAAAAATTTATAATGAACAGCCTTTTTATCTCGATAACCTTATTCTTTGAAGGTAATATGGTAAGACGTTACAGAAAACTCACTCTTCAAGCATCCAACAGGTGCGTCGCCGAATTGATGAGTACTCCCAATATACGGGTAGTATCTGTTTTCCTGGGGATTGGCTATAGCTCTCCACCATGGATTTCAGCTCTCGGAGCCACCATCTACTCGAAGCATAGTTTATGGAGAAAATAGGAATGTATATTTGGGAGCTTTTTTCTGATTGCAAGATCTCTGAGATCTTTTCGCCCGGCTGTAACTCTTTTCTACTGGATATCCACAATGTTAGATCTTCGAGGTTCCAAATCGAAGGAGGTAGTTCCCCAATAACTGTCCCAGATAGATACAACTCAGTCGACCTCCTTAACTCCCCAATGGCATCCGACAGCGAATTTAGACTCGTACAGTTCAACAAAGGCAAGGATTCAAGAAACCCTAGCCCATTGATTGTCTCCAGAAATTCAACTAATCCGGTATGCTCCATTGATAGCCTTGGCAAACCTCTTACATTGCTGATCGAGTCTGGCAAATGACGAATACTACGACCCTGCATAGGGAAATCCCCCCTCAGTTGTGTTCTGATCCCAAAACTGTTCATCCGTAATGTCAAATCTTCGAGGTTCCAAATCAAACAAGGCAGGTTCCCAAGAGTTGTCCCAGATAGATCCAACTCAGTCAACGACTTCAACTCCCCAAGAGCATCCGACAGCGAATTTAGATAAGTACAATTCACCAAACACAAGTGCTTAAGATCCACCAGCCCTTTAATTGTTTCTGGAAGTTCAATTAATCCTGTATCCTCTATTACTAGCCTTGACAAACCTCTTATGTTACCTATCGAGTCTGGCAAATAACGAACATTATGACCCTGGATCAAGATGAGCTCTTTTAGGGCAGTTAGACAACCAATTTCCTTGGGCAACTCTTTAAGATGTGGACACCATTTGATTTTCAAGTAATTCAATCGCTGTAGTTCACCAATTGAGGGATCAATTTCGGCCAATGTCAGGAAATCTTTCAGAACCAATCTCTCTAAACTCACAAATTCAGAGAAGCAAGGAGTTTTGATTAAGGATTTAGATCCCGCAATTTTCAGAACTTTTAATTTACTTGCCACCTGCAAAACGGAACCCAGCTTAAAACTCTCAGGACTCTATATGCATTGCAAAATAGGTGCATCTCATCAGATATTAAGACGATTAGTTGAAAGAGTAAATGAATCAAGTGAAATTGTACCATGATTTCGACCCATCCACTCCATTCTTCTATGGTGATATTTCCTGAAAGCTTGAGAACAACTAGCTGATTCAACACAAAGTTGTTTGCTTGAAGTTGCGAAGGACAATTTCGCCAACAAAGCCATCTTAGCTCAGGTAAAATATCCTCACAGATGCCAGCAAAGTTCCCTCCATATAATTTGAGAAACCTTGCATTCTTGAGATTCGCAAAATCTTCGCGTGTGAAATTGTGTCTTGATCTCCTTGGTGCAAGTGCTACCACATTTTTTGTTCCCTAATGGAAAATATAATATTAAATCGTGTCTTTTGACCTAAGCAATGAATTCAGGTTACTTAATCGTTAAATATAATATTGATTCATATGAAATTCGATATATCTTTACTATTTAAAATTGTGCATATTGGATGACTGTATTTATGCTTTCATATAAAAATTATATACTAGTTCTTCGAACTATTGTGTCTAATTATATTAAATATTTATGCTATAATAATGATATTGTTTTTTATTCCATGGAGTTGGTGTTTGTTACTTAGTAGTCTGCTCACTCGGCCAAAAAACCGATCTATTTACAGTTTTTGCTGATGTTGAGTAGGATTGAGGAACTCGGGGGTTGAGGTTAATTTTTTCTGAAAGTGCACTGCAGAAGCGTGGTATTCTTTTTATATTAAATTTGATTGAGTTTTCGTGATTATAACTTCAGAGGTGAATTTTGATGGAGTTGATGTTTGTAGACTTTGGTATAAAAGAATATTTTCAAGTATAGTTTGAGGTATAAAGGACAATATATTCAATAAAATGGGTGTCACATCTCCACTCAATATATAATTCAGGCTAAATCAGTAGAGAGTTAAAGTAAACATGACAGTCACTAGCTAAATTTGAATCAGACTTTTGAAGCGAGAATTCTTTTAGCTTTACTGGATATTACTAATATAACCTTTTCAAAACATACTTGTTTATAGCACTATCGAGACCCAACAGAAAAACCTAAAGATTTTATTTTTTCGTTTGAGTGTGCATTATCTAGATAGAACAAGATAGATTGGATAGGTATGATTATCTAGTGGAAAAGTTCAAATGGTCTTTTAAACTCATTGTTCTTATCTTATATAAATAATTTTGGAAATGGGTGCACTATTTATTGGTGAAAAAAAGGAAGAGAAAATTAGCAAATTTCTTTAACGAAAAACATAATTAATTCACAAGTTTTTCTATTAGGGGCTTCTTAGCTTGTAATAAATGGAGGCAATATGCAAGAGAGATGAACTCTTAGACACGAAGTAGTGTAGAAAAGAATAAAATGGTGTTGTTCGTACTTACCTTTTTTGCTTGGGACATCTCGAGAAACCACAATCTGCTTCGATCTCCAAGATTTTTGATATTCTCTTGACGAACAATTTCTCTCCCAAGATCTCTTAACTGATTGTGCATCCATATTCTATCATAATCAATCCTGATCAAGGACTTACGGATAAGGACATCAATTTCAACTTCCGGGTAAAAGGAACAAGCTTCCCACATATACATTGCATTAATTTTTTTCTTGTTAACAAAGAAACATGCAATGTCCAGAAAAATTTGTTGCTCCTCACATCCAAGTGCATCATAACTAATCTTTAACCTCTGTTGGACCTTTTCGTGAGGCACTTCCTTCAACTTCGTCAGTGTGGTTTTCCACTTTGCTTTACTTATGGTACGAAGATGTGAACCTATCACTTTAAGAGCCAATGGAAGTCCTCCGGTGAGTTCAACAACTTGTCTGGAAAGATCATAAAGATCACAAGGAGCCAAATCTGTGTTGAAAGCATGCTTGTTGAAAAGTAGAAGAGCATGATCAAAATGCATCTCCTTCATTTCGTACAGCAAAATTTGTGGAGGTCGTGTCAAGATATTTTCTTCCAGTCCATCGACATTGGTCATAGGAAAATCTCTAGTTGTAATGACGATCCGACTCCCCGGACCATATGAATAAGAATTCATTGCTAGATTCATAAATTGTTCATTTTCATCCATGTCATCCAAAACAAGTAAGACACGCTTGTTAGGTAATATTTCTTTGATCGTATTAGTCCCTTCCTTACGGTCAATGGTTTCGTGAAGCGAGAAACCAAAAAGATCAGCAACTAATTTTCTTTGCATTTTTACAATGCCACAACATGAAGATGACTCACGGATGTTCGAAAGGAAGGAGTGACCTTCAAATTGAGGAGAGAGTTGGTTGAACACTTTCTCGGCAAGAGTTGTCTTCCCAATGCCACCTATCCCATAGATAATGACAAATCGTACACCACCAGTATCACAACTTAACAGTTTCTTTATGGCTTCTACATGATCATCAATACCAACCAGATAAGTGGGCAAATATCTTTTCCTTATTGTGATCTTCTGCAAGACCTTTTCAGTGATGTCTGCCATGACCTTGCCATGCCTACCATATTCATGAAATCGTTGCACATAAGATTATGTTTAAGCAATTAATATTTCAAATAGAAGCATATAATGATAACCAGCGTGCCGATATGTATTTTTCATGTGGTATTCGCCAAGGATGTTTTTAAATCGCTCATTCCACATGTATCGAATAAGGCTTCTCCTACAAGGGTGGTGAGTATTGCCCCAAAAGAGTTTAGAGCCAATCACTTGAGGCACCCTTTGGGAGTTCATCAGCATGTAGATAGTCTTAGCCTAGTCGTAGTGAATGATACATACTAACATGCGTGCTTGTGTGCACTACTATTCTAATACACAACTGGAAGGTAGATCTGACAATAACCCAATAGATACATAGACAGATAAATAAAAGAAGATCATGTCGATACCTTTGACCTTTCAAACACCATCCTTTGATTGTAGCCACCTTTGTCAAAGCCTCCTTCCAAGGCTTCACTTCAGTGCAGCCAAGTTCCTCCTCATGCTTGTTTAGAGCGCTAGTGTACAGTTCCGTTTCAAGCTTAACATCCGAGGGTTCCACATTGTAAAAGATGGGTAGTATATCTTTCTCTATGGATTGGCAATTGCACTCCATGATGCATGTCAGCTCTCGAAGGCACCATCGACTCGAAGCATAGCCTTGGGAGAAAATAATAATGTATATTTGGGAGCATTTTACTGCTTCCAAGATCTCCAAGATGTTTTTTCCCTGGCCTAACGCTTCCTCGTCCCTAAAAATGCGGATTCCTTTTTGGTTCATGAACTCATAAAGGCAATCTGTGAATGTGTCGCGAGTGTCGGGTCCTCGAAAACTCAAGAACACGTCGAAGTGGCCACCTGTTACAGTCCCTGAGTTGGCTCCTTCGCCCCCCATCTGAAAACACAGACTGATGTTGCCGGTGACTTCTTTTTGTGATCCTAGAGGAGATTTCTACAGCAAGAGGGACTTGCCGCGTTAGGCCACTCATCGAAGTATCACATAATCAATATTATATATTATTTCATCAATCTATGGCTAATAAAGTCTTGTTGGTTGAGTGGGTTTGTGCCTACTTTAAGGTGGAGGTCATGGGTTGCATCTCCTTATTTATTTATTTATTGTTTTTTAAATAAAGTTTATAGGACCCGTTCTAAATCGATTCGCTCCGATTCCAGTTCAAGCGGCCTGGTCGCTCACTGCTACTACATCTATGTGGAAAAAAGTCCTAGATATCAAACGAATTGGTATGCAGTATACACTACTCTTTTGCTCGATGGGACTCGTATATTAAGATCAAAATGAATGGACCCTCCCATAAGATTGGTTTTCATTTTTTCCTATGACAGTTTGGATTAACAATTTAACATCGAAAGCCCCCCCTGTTAAGCGTGCTTGTTGAGGCGAAAGCGTAAAGCTGTGTCTTGGAAAAAGTCCTTGCTTAATAAAACCATGAGATGCGATTAAACCTGATAAAAAAAGAACTGTAATGGAGTACTTGGAAAAGTACACCGCATTCGAAAATCACATAAAAATTTTGGCGTGCAATTGATGAACTGCACACCGGAAAAAAGAGGAGCTGGTCCATGCATCCACGCGAGGCCCCACATAACCATCCACAAATCCAAATGAAAAGGACAAAAAAGAAAAGGAAATTTTATTAGGTGAAAATTTTTTTAAGATAGAAGAAGATCATCGTCATCGTCATCCATCAAATGAAAAAGCCATAGAAAAGCCCATTACCAACGACCCCTGATTTTCGACCAAAAAAAGAAAAAAACGACCCCTGATAGCCGAAGCTCCACTCTATGTGTCTCTCTCTCCCCGCAGGTGTATGAGATAGAGAGAGACGCACCCAGAGTGAGCTCGTTGCAGCTCTATCTGCAATGCGACCGACAGACACTCCCACCATTTCACACATCGCACCGAAGAAATCGAAATCACAGCGCACCAAAACCGAAACATCCAATGAAGAAATCGAAATCGAAACAAAGAGAGAGACAGAGAGAGTACCTAAGGGTGAGCTGATTGATGGAAGACCACCATAGGCGAGGCCACAACCCGTGAGACGGAGAGAGAGGCGTCAACCGATAATGGAGAGAGAGAAAGATGGAGTGGCGCTGCTGGAGAGACTCGAGAAAGAGGTAAGATTTGAGAAAGTGAGTGAGAAATGAGAGAGTGAGAAGTGAGAAAGTGTTTGAGAGACTTGACTTAAAAGAGGTTTTTTTTTTTTGGTTAGTCCTCCTATTATTCTTACTCTACCTCTTATTTCACTTTCAGATTTTTATTTTGTCTCTGCAAGCGTGTGAGTCAAAACCCACACCTAAAATTACGCATCCCTACTCTTAACTCCTCTTCCCCGAGAGAAGGTGGAGAGTCGAACTCCCCACCTCTCCTTTTTCAAGTGAGAAGGGTGGCTGGCCACTGGGGACTTAAAAGAGTTAAATGTTTCATTTTTGAACTGGTTTTGAACCGGTTGTGGCTGCGGGCCATCACAAATTCACAATATATACAAGCAAATCTTTCACCAGCAAAGTCTCTGAGAAAAATACACTATGGCTCAGTACCGAATCTTCCTTGAAAGCAACCTGTACTATTTCTCACCTAAATATGTATTGCGTCTCTAAAAAATGAGAATAACGATTTATCAGACTGAATATCAAAACACATAGAATATGTTGCGAAAGCAAACGACCGAACAATAAAATAGACAGAACAAAAAAATAAATCGGACATAAAATTTATGTGGTTCGATCGTAGTGTCCTATGTTCATGTGGAGAGCAGCAACGAATTCCACTATAGATCAAGCAATACACGGATATTACAACTATGCTCTAGTCACTTAAACATTCTTAGTATTTTTCAGCCCCAATTACACTTAATAATTCACGTAATATTTAGCCTTATAATTTCTCAATCTCATAAAGAAATTATACACAAATCTTATCACAAAATTTAATTGGCCATAAACACTTGTTCTCCTGGTATGTAATTCACGAACAGGACCCAAGAAAATAAACCACGCCGAGCACTCGCTTGGAAACGGCGCTTCAAGCATCCCACGCGGCTCGGCTCTACTGAAGGAAAACCCAAAGACCTTCACTGTTCGGCCCTTTCTCGGAATTCGCTGGCGGCTTCGTGGCACACAAGAACAACCCACGATTTCTTTTCTTTTTATATGAAACCCTTGGGCCCTACCTTTTTGCAGCAACCTTCGCTTTTCCTTTCCAGCAACATAGAAAGCCCACAAGTCTTCATCTTTCCTTCTTGTAATTTTTTTTTTTTTATCTTTCCCCTGACAAAGACTTTCTTTTAGGATTGGGACCCACCGAAATATTCACCCTTGGAGTGAGCCTACGTAACTTCAAGGTAAAACTTGCAGGTTTATCTTCAACAATTCACCCTTGGATAATTACGAAAAATCACTTATCCAAGAAAATTCAAATAGCAAAATGCATACTGAGTCAGATTCGAGACATATTTTAATAGAATATATGTCCAAAAAAATGTATGGTGTCTAACTCTACAGCTCGCAAAATGATGGTATCGTGAAAGGGTAGGTTTTTTTTTTTGGTCTGAGTAAAAGGGTAGTTGAACAACATAAACTTTAAAACTTTTGTCTTGAAACAAATGCAACATGAATTGCAAACAACGAATCCGAAAATACATCGCAATTGGCTAAGCTTAATAGTGAGCTAAGGCCTCACACAAATTATCACTACAAAAAAACAAGGATTTTGCGACGAAAATTTGCGACGAAAAATTTTTCGTCGGAAATTACCAATGACTTTTGCGACGAAAACTAAATTCGTCGGAAATTTCCAACGAAAATTTATTCGTCGCAAATTTTCGTCGGAATTTCCGACGAATAATTATTCATCAGTAAAATTAGTCGGAAATTTCCGACGAAAAATTCTTCGTCGCAAAATTCGTCGGAATTTTGCGACAAAAAATTTCTGGTCGCAAAATTCGTCGGAAATTTGCAACGACAAATTTTTCGTTGGAAATTTCTGACGAATTTTTGCTCGGACGAATTGAAAAAATTTGTCGCTACCGAACTTTCGACACGGAAAATAATTTTTATGATATCCATCCCCACTAATTCCTCATATCTCCCTCAATGTTCTTTCTCCCTCTCTCTTTCGTTTCTCTCGATTTACCTATCTGCGCACGCGCAAATCAATCTCGGTAAAGCTTTTCCGCCGGTAAGTGTCGTGGCTAATTTCATCATTGGATTTGTATTTTTTGGTATTATTGACATTTTTTTTTCCTCTTCCTTTTTGGTTTGGCCGGTCGCCGGAGACATCGCCGGCCATGAGGCGAGGTCCAGCGGCTTGGCCCTTGCGACGCTAAGATGGGCTACCCTCGCCATGGCCGGCGAGCTCGAGCTCGCCGGCCATGGCGACCTCGGCCCTTGCCGGTGCCGGCGAGGGCTAGCCTCACATGGGCTGACGGCGAGGGCCGAGCTCGCCGGCACTGGCGAGCGGGCCGAGCTCGCCGGCACTGGCGAGCGGGCCGAGCTCGCCGGCCATGGCGAGCTGGCCCTCGCCGGCACTGGCGAGCTGGCCCACGCCGGCACTGGTGAGTTGGCCGAGCTCGCCATGGCCGGCGAGCTGGCCCTCGCCGGCCATGGCGAGCTGGCCCTCGCCGGCACTGGTGAGCTCGGTCCTCGCCAGTGCCGGCGAGCTCGAGCTCGCCCAGAACTTGCCCAGGCGAGTTCGCCGGTGGCTGGACTGGCGACCGGCCAAGAAGAATGGAAAAAAAATAAAAAGAAAAGAAAAAGAAAAAGAAAGAGAAAAAAATAGAAAATAATTACCAAAGCATCTTAAGTAATTTGTTTTTATTTTATGTACGTGTCCATTTGAAGATTTCGCAATTCAAGTGAACGTTGCAATTCTCATCAAATTGACCACTTTCTACTGCAAAGATTTTCAGTCAAATACTTGGTAAGTCTTCTTGACATGGTAATTTTTTCATGTTTTTCAATATGAAAGTAATTGTTTCGTTAAAAACGAAATTTAAATTTTTTGAAATTTATGGTTTTAATTAACAATGTTAAACAATAGATATGATATTTTTTTATATTTTATGAGAATTTTTTAATTTTTATACAGACACAATGTAAAGAGACAGGGGTTGGATGTATAATAACAACTTACCTGGACGTCAAGGATTGACCGATGAGTTTCGTATCGGGTTGGAACTATTTTTGGACTTTGCTAGTAGTAAATATGAGTTCATGGATGGAAATAAGTTAAGGTGTCCATGTAAAAAGTGCAGTAATGGAAAATTTCAAGACGTCGATACAGTTAGAGAACATCTTTGTAGATTTAGATTTACTCCGAACTACTATAATTGGACTTGCCATGGTGAACCATTTATATCTGATGACGGATATCGCAAAAACGACCAATTTTTAGTTAGGGAAGAATGTAGCTATTATGACCAATTGGACCCATACCAGATGATGGTGTTTGATGAAGCCGGTCATAATTTTGTTTCAGAATCGAATCATGCAAGTACTAGTTTTACTCCTACACTTGAACAAGTGGGAACTAGTCATGCATCATAATTGGATGAGGCAGGAGTTACAGGTTTTGATGAGAATGTGTCTGATCAAACTTTTCAATCTAATCAGTTCTGGGATGTGTTGAAAACAGCAGATGAACCTTTATGGGCAGGTTGTGACAACCACACGAAGGTATCAGTGACAGCAAAACTGTTAAATATCAAGGCAGAGCATAATGTGTCTGTGGATTGCTTCAACTCTTTTGTTGAAGTAATGCGGGAAACAATGCCTCGTGATAACATCATGCCAAGTGACTTTTACGATATGAAAAAGCTAATGGATGACTTAGGTCTTCCAGTTGTAAGAATTGATGTATATATTAGGGAT